AATTGTTTGATTATTTTACGTCAGGAAGGTGAAAATAATATTGGCGAATTTATATCTATCAGATATTTGCGGCTTTCCATATCAATATTGACATTGTACTAAGAAGTCCTGTGTTTGTCAGGTATGTTAAATGTGGAGGATCAAAGTCTGCCGAGGGTCCCAAACAGACTTTTATCCTCACTTTATAATGTCAGCCCTATTTCCTTCAGTGTGTTGTGCAATGTGTGTTGTTTGTGGCATTCAGAATTGCTTGGTGTCCTTGTGTGACTAATACAATAATGTGACAGTGATTAATTTATAGGATGATTTATTTCCATGATTTTCCAGCCTAGAGGAGGCATGAGGCAGGTGAGACTCAGACTGGCTTCCTGTCGGATGATCCCGCATGGGGAAATGACGTCAGACCTTCCCGGCGGCGCATGGAACATCTCTTCAACCAGACATGTGAGTGTGTGTGTCTCACACTTGTTCCTCTTTTGTTCACACAATGTTCCCTGTGTTGTGTATTGGTATTCTTCCACATCCAGGGTGATATTAAGCACATTTTCCACCAAACAGAAATCTGATATGCTGAGAGAAGAGCAGCAAGGGGAGGATGTTCACGGAGGAGAAGAAGAAGAGGAGGAAGAGGGGGATGATCTTCTCTTCAACAGTCAACATGAATGTCCCCTCGTTCAGCAAAAGGTTAATAAATATGCACGGTGCAGCAGTTCCATATTATTTTTTATAAACTGTTAATACACACTTAATTTGTATGAAAAAGACAGAGTTGCTGCTTGACAACAGGAAAATGCACAAATGCAAGCTACAAACTGTAGATATAGGTCTGATATTTAAAAATGGAACAAGCTTATACATCAATGAGCTTTGAATTGTATCACCATGTTTATGATGTTATACCAGATGGGAAATATGACAGGTTAAGAGTTAGTAAAGGCCTCTGTTTAAACCAAACACAGCATTTAGTAGGCCAAATCATTATTTTTCTTTAATTTAATAAATTTTAATTTCATTTAAATAGACCAGATATAACTTAGTTACAACTTAGTTATTGAGATTAGCTGTGTCTCAGTTATGCCAAAGGAGTCTCCTTCCTCTACAGGTAAGAAAAGGTCCACAAAAAAAGAAAAGAACTCGATATCACCAGACTTATCTTGTTAAAAAAATGTTGACAAGATTTTTTGATAAGATAAAAGACATTTTAAGAACAAATACAGTGGAAGCACATTATAAAAAGGCATTTAAAAACAGGCATTTAAAAAGCAAAGATAATCAACCCAGCAGGTATAAAATACATGGATAAAAAGCCATACTGCAGTTTGAAGTTGAACAACTCATCCAAGTGCAGCGTCAAAAAGATACGTTTTTCATCTGGATTTAAAAGTATCAACAGTTGCAGCTGACCTGCAGGATTCAGGCAGTTCCAGATGGTTGGGGCATAAACACTAAACGCTGCTTCTCCATGTTTAGTTCTGACTCTTGCAGCAGAGAGCAGACCCGTCCCAGAAGACCTGAGACTCCTGGATGGTTCATACTTTTGCAGGAGATCGTTAATATAATTTGGTCCTAAACCATTTAGTGCTTTTAAAAACCAGCAGTAGTATTTTAAAATCTATTCTTTGACACACAGGAAGCCAGTGTAAAGACTTCAGAACAGGAGTGATGTGATCCACTCTCTTAGTGTCAGTGAGGACTCAAGCAGAGGCGTTCTGAATCAGCTGCAGCTTTCTGATGGATTTTTTTGTGAGACCTGTGAAGACACCATTACAGTAGTCCAGTCTACTGAAGATAAAAGCCTGGACACGTTTTTTCAAATCCTGCTGTGACATTAGTCTTTTAATCCTCGATA